TTTTAGGACCCACAGTGGGGTCTTAACCCCGATTTGCTGTAGATGAAACCTCAAAGTGCCTGTGACATTAATRCTTTGTAAGAAAGACAACATTATTAACATGTTAAAAATGAATTTCACGTTGCTCAGATGGACAGTTGTTGAGATATTTGCATGTAAAATAACAGGAAGTGACGTCAAAGGGGAATGTCTGCATGTGAATATTAAAATAAATAATTTTTACCAATTATTTTAATATTTGAGATGAATTACAATCATCCTATTTACAATGTGATAACATTTTAAAGACTTCTAAAAGACTGATTTAAGACATTTTATGGCTAATTAAGGCCTTATTTTTAGATTGATTAATTCAATGCCTTTTAAGACTTTTTAAGGATCTGTAGGAACCCTGTGTAAGGATCATGCATTTAATCTACCAAACACTAATTAACCTTTAATTTGAATAATAACAATAGAAATAATTCAAAGTGCCACTTGACTTCCTGTGACCATATAAGGAKGTTCTCACCCCACGCTGAAGTATTGTCTCATCTCCTGCCGGCGGGACCTCATGATGGCCTTGTACTCTCCGATGCGCAGCTTCTTGCCGTCCACCAGGCAGGTGCGTTTGGGCCGGGGCTTGTACTTGTAGTCGGGGTACTTCTCCAGGTGCTGCTTGCTGAGGCGGGCCTGCTCCTCGTAGTACGGCTGCTTCTCCAGGTTGGTCATGGCTTTCCACCGCGAGCCTGGAAACACAGGAGCGGCTCTCAGTTTCACAGGAGATAACAAGACGAGGCTTTGAAAGCGCGGCAGAAATGGAGTGTTGGTTAAACAAAGTGGAACACAAAAAAAAAGGGTTAATGAGGAGCACCGCTGGGACGACAGGTACTCATCTCATCTAATGAGGACTTCACTTAACCTGCTGTCATGTGCTCAGATCTGTCCCTGCATGTGTGTGTGTGTGGGCGTCCTCTCGTCTTCCCCTGTGTGTGCTTCATATCTGGACTCAATTTGCACTTGACTACTGTATGTTTAATGGGTAAAAGCTGTCAGTGCAGGGCTGTCCCCCCTCGCTCTGTGTTCTGCGATCTGTTAGCAATCGAGAGCGAGGCGGCTTATTAAAACCAGATTTCCCTGTGTTATAAAACGCTTAGGAGCTCTTTAAAATGTCAGGGCCGATCCCGGCGGTCTGGGGGAAATGTCAGGCGGCCTCGCGCTGCTTGTTTAATGCATAATGAATTAAATCATCATTTGTCTGGGCTGTGCTCACCGCAGCCTTTCATTAACGCTCGCCTGCACCGGAGGAAGGAAATCACTTAAGTCGGACGTGTGAGGGAAGCACGTGCACGGATTTGTTTTCTGTTTTTGTTGTTGTTTACCGAGGATCTTGCTGATGTTGGAGTTGTGCATGTCCGGGAAGGCCTGGAGGATCTTCCTCCTCTCGTCTTTGGCCCAGACCATGAAGGCGTTCATCGGCCGTTTGATGTGTGGCTCGCTGCTGCTGCGACCCCGAGCTTCTCTGAATATTCTGGAGTCTGACACGCTGGGGGAGCCTGAGGAGGAACACACACACACACACACACACACACACACAGTGAAAATCCTGCGCTGAGCCTGTTCAGACACGTCTTGTTTGATATTTAGAATAGAATGGAATAGAAACAGTTTTTATTGTCCTGCACAGAGTTGTAAAGTAACTAAGTACAAATACTTTGTTACTGTACTAAAGTACAAATTTTGGTTATTTGTACTTTACTTGAGTAATTATTTTTCAGCGTACTTTTTACTTTTACTCATTACATTTTTACACAATTTTCTGTACTTTCTACTCACTACATTTTTTTAAAAGGTAAGAAGTAGTAAGTCGTTACTTCTATTTTATTCCGAGTTATTACTGAAAAATACCATCCTGATAAATTGTGTCTCCTGGATAGAGTGAATTTAATTGTGGTTGGA